GCCTTGCTCTGCCCCAGGTGACTAGAGACCTGGGAGCCCAGCGAGCTTGGGCCTGTTAAGCCGATCCCCGAGGCTAAACCTTCCCAGAGAGCCGAGGGGCAGCTCTCCCTGAACTGCCCAGGCCCCACCAGACTGGCCTCTGAGCTCCTCCCTGGGCCCGAGCCACGGCTCTCTATGCCCGGAAACCCACACACAGACAGAGACCTACCCACAATGGTCCACGGGCCCCACACGAGCTAACCCCCCAACCCTGCACCTTCCCCTCTGTTCATGCTGCTCAACTACACAGGCCTCTCGCTGGCCCTGGACCGAGTCAGACTCACGCCTGCTCTGGCGTTTCTGGGGCTGTGCCCTCTCCCAGGCACCAAGCTCCTTCACTCCCTTCCTCCAAGTCCTCGCTCCAAGGTCACCTTCTAGGGAGGTCAGCCCCCTGCTCTCCCCTGTCCTCACCTGCTCTCCCCTGTCCTCATGTTCTTATCACCTTCCACAGTCTGCAGCTGGCTTAGCTGGTGTTTACTAAAAAGACGAAATTGCCAAGTGCCCAGAAGCTGTGCCTGACCCTTCAATGGCACCCAGTAAATATCTGTGGGAAGGGTGCATTCATCCTCATCGGAGCTGCCATTTATTGAAAGCCTACTATGTGCTGACTACTGAGCTAGGTGCTCCACCTCCCAGTCCTCTCACAGCATCTCCTCGATGGGTGCCATTATCATGCGCGAACGGGAAACTGAGGCTCTCAGAGGGGACCTGCAGAACGCTGAGCCGACCCCCAGGGGCCGTGTGAGTCGGAGCCAGGCTTTTTGTGCGACCCCATGGGATTGCTTGGCCTCTGAAACCCAGTGGTTTTCCTGAGCCCACCTCCTGGCCCAGCTGACAGGCCGTCGGCTCCACGGCCGCCGTCTCAGCCACTGCGATCGCGCCCTCGGCTGCTCTTGGCGATCAGCACTGAGGTTTTCAGTGTAGCTGTGGGTTCTGGTGGTGCCGTGGCTTTTGTCAAAGACAAGGGCATCGGGCCTGGCTCGCAGTCACAGTAGATAAGCTGTGACCTTCAGAGAAAGTGCCGAGTGCTCCCTCTCCTTTGCGGGCCTCCTGGCTGTTGAGTGAGGCTTCATTCGGTCTTGCAGCCCTGCCCTGCGCCCACATGGACAAAGGTCGAGAAGGGGAGGGATGGCGAGTCAGGCTCACCTCACCGCACCCCTCGTCTCCACAGCCACCCGGACCCTTGCTTCCAGCTGACGCGGTGGCTCTGCGATACCTTAAAGCAGTGCCTGTGGTTTATTCCGAGTTCCATTTGCTCCTGGCAGAAGGGTGGGTTGATACGATTCAGTCTGGCAGCCCGCGTGGTGCGCGCGATGGTGCCAGTTTCATTATCAGAAGTTCTCGGCACCTCCGTCCGCCCACCGGGCATCTCCGAAGCCGCTCACGCCTGGGCCAAGCTTCCCAGCCATTAGCCTCCATCTTCTCGCTGTCAGCCTTGCTGTCCCTGCCCCTCACCACGCATGCCTTGTAGAGTCTGGACATTTTTACGTTGTTTTCCATTGGAACGGTGGTGTGGGTGTTGGCAGGTGGCCTTTTTCAGAGCCAGAGGCTGGGGTGTGGCGGAGTTGGTTGTGTTCTTGGCATTAGTCAGCTCAGGCTCGGGCCCTCTAATGAGTTGGTTTGGGTTTTTATCTCTCTCTAGTGGTGAGAGAGAAAAGCCCAGGCTTGCTTCTCAGGTTTCTCCCCAGGGTGGTTGCACAGTGTGGAGGAGCTACCTGGGGAATTCGGGAGAGGGAAAGCTGTTAGAACTCCCTGTCTCAGAGGCAGCGCTGAGACTGGGCTACATGCCAAAGGGCGGCCAGTAATCTAAGCACATGCAGTGGTGATGAGGGCAGTTTGCTTTTGTCTTTCTAGGCACAAGGCATCCATTTCATGCAGCTCA